CGAGGCTACATCAGCCGCTATTAGCATAACACATCTCAGTCTCCGACTTGTTGGTCCAATTGCAATGTGGGTGGCGTAGGCTGCTGAATCTGTGCTATGCTAAATGCTAAAAAGTACTCTTCTGAGGAGAGTCCTACTCAGCCTGTGAAAACAGCTGTATAATGTCTTCTTTGGCTCTGAAGGGAGATTTGACGAGTCTTGAGAAAATAACCCCGGGGTTATCTCAGCTTGGGCTTGGAGACGATGGTTTCTTCACAAAAAGCTTGCATTAAAAACTGAGGGCATGGAGTTCAGAAGATGTTGGCATCTACCAGACAGGGAGGATCTAATAAAAAGATGTTATAGGTTGCATTATTGGAACTGTAGGAGCTTATGTTTTTGTTATGTGACCCCACTAAGGCTAGAGTATTTATTATAATAGTATTCCCTGTGAACCAAATGTACTTAATAAATAAAATTGCCTGTATATGTCAGCCTCTCATGCTTCAGTTTTGACCATTTTGTTTTCCGTCTATCTCATGTGAATTCCCCGACCTTATGGAAGTACAACACAAAATTACTGTAGTACCCTTTTAAAATGCTAAGCTAGTTAGTTATTGCATGGAAACTCTTTGCTTCGCGGTAGCTCACTAACGGGATCACCATTAGCTGCTCTCTCCATGACAGAATGGTCATTGAGGGCATGTTTTTTTTTTTTTTTTATATTGTGAAAAAGTCATTCTGGGAAATATTGGAAATTAAAAGTGCATGAGTCACATTTAAGTACAGCGTTAAATCACAGTTTTCATTGCAAAGTTATTCCTGGAAAGAACTGAACCTCACGATGATATTAAAAAAAATATTTCTTAAGGTGGATTTGTCTTTTAATTGAAGCTGCAGTCTACTCCACATTCAAGGACGGCGCTGAAAATGAAGGGCCGAATCTAAGTTGAAAAGTTTGACATTTGTGAGACCTTTATTCTTTTCGTGAAAACATGAAAAGACTGCTTTTTGTCCCCCAAATGACCAGGTCAACATGTCAACTGTTAAATCGTGTTAAAGGCGTGTTCTGTGTGAGAAAAGAGGTTTTGGGACCTCTCGGAAGATAAAACTGATGGGTCCCAAGATGATAAACATAGTTGGAAATAAGAAAACTAAAACAAAAGAACCCAGACCAACATAGTTCTATCTCTTCAGAGCTCATAGACCTTTGAAATGAGCCCAAAAAATTGTGAGTGACTGTAATTAGAGTTTCTAAAAAAGGGGATTTAACTGAACCTAAAAGGGAGAGATTTTCTTTTTCTAGAACCTTTTTTTTTTTGTCTTCAGACACTAATTCTGTCCCACCATTTTCATTCCTTCCACATTCTCCTTTTATTCAGGTTTAGACTCCAGCACACGGACTCTGAGCACCCCCAGCCCTGGTCTTATCCTTCCATCCAAGTCCTCCTCTCTCTCCTCACCAGCCCTCTCCAGTAACGGCCATGAGTCCAACTCCTCTTCCTCCTCCTCCGCCCCCGCCGAGACCGTCGCCGTGGTCCACCCTCAACCTGGCACTCACACGCGCTCCCGCCAGTCGAAGAGCCACCACCACGCACCCATCGACCTCCTCCCCGACCACACCCTCCTGCAGATCTTCTCACATCTCCCCACCAACCAGCTGTGCCGCTGCGCACGCGTGTGCCGCCGCTGGTACAACCTGGCGTGGGACCCGAGGCTGTGGAGCACCGTCCGGCTAACGGGGGAGCTGCTCCATGCCGACCGCGCCATCAGGGTTCTGACCCACCGGCTGTGCCAGGACACCCCGAATGTGTGTCTGACCCTGGAGACGGTGATGGTGAACGGCTGCAAAAGGCTCACCGACCGAGGGCTGCATGTGGTGGCTCAGTGCTGCCCGGAGCTACGTCGCCTGGAGGTCGCCGGCTGTTACAACATCTCTAACGATGCTGTGTTTGAGGTGGTGTCCCGCTGCCCCAACCTGGAACACCTGAACCTCTCAGGTAAAAAAGAAATACACTTGTCATACTCTATAACAAGAAATCAAAGCCATCTTCTCTCGATTGGTGGCTAATGGTAGGCTCATTCGGTTTTATTGAGGAGTGTCTGCTACCCTACATCACGCACGTGTGGCTTTACCTCAAAGAATTCCTCCCCTCAGTCGCTCTCATTTCTAGTGAAGCTGGGAAAATCATTAGAGGAGCAGGAGAAGCTCTGCCAACCTTAAGCTCCCATGTGGGAGAAGAAAGGCTTTCTTTAGCTGAAAGCAGAACTTACCTCGACGTGAGTAAGGAGAGCGGTCTGCTGCTTTCATTAAGGAAGCGACACAAATAACATAGAGTTGGACAGAACTCTGGTGGCAGAGCAAAGTCTGTGCCATTAGCATCAGGAAGTAAGCCCTTTGTTGTAAAAATAGCCTTTTTAAAAAAACTGCTGGCTTTAATTTGAAAGGCACAGAATAATCAAATCGAGTCTCTTAACCGCTAAGAACATCGGCTTTTGATTTTTTCCCCCAGGAAAACTGATCACAATTTGGTTTTCATTGTTTCATGTTTGCACTCAAACATTTTCATTGCTTCTAGTTGCATGCATGTAGTCAGGTGCAGCAGGTTTTACTCTGGCGCCCTCGAGTGGTAACTCACAATTGCTATTAGCATTCAGAAGTGAAATTATCTTATATACCACATTATACCACAAAAAAAATTTTTTTGTCTTAAAACAGTACTCACATGCCCGTATGGACAATGAAATGAAACTGTTTATGCTTGCTCTCATCATTCCTCCTGTTCATACCGGCCACCAAGAAATCCCTTCTTAATGTACTTTTAAAAGTGATGGGGGAGAAAATCCACTGTCTGTGTCTAATGAAAAATGTTTTTATCAGGCTGAAAGTTTTTCTTTTTTTTGTTAAGTAACTCTGTATTTCCCCAGAAAGTTTTTTTCCTGAGCTGTGGTGGAGTGACTGATCCAAAGAGGGAATTTTGTACTAAAAATACTTCATTCAGCCAACTCAGACTGCTAAAGCCTCAACTTACTTTCAGTTAAACCATGGAATGTACTGACAGGTGACAAATTAAAGGAAAAACCAACACGAAGTCAGGCCCCCACAACCAAACAGAGCCACCCTCACTGTAGGGGTCAAGCATTCGGGCCTTCTCTTCTCTTCTCTTCTCTTGAATTCATTACCACTGTGGATCATTTACGTTAGAAGCACATTATGAAAGGCTGTCTTAAGGGCTAGTATTATAAACAGGAGGCATGATGAGCAGAATCTGGGTTGTTTTAAGACCTTATCCTCTAAATAAGAACATCTACTTTTGGATGGTAACCGCTGCTTCCTCTTCCTCCAGGCTGTTCCAAGGTGACATGTATCAGCCTCACCCAGGAGGCCTCGCTCCAGCTGTCCCCCCTACACGGCCAGCAGATCTCCATTCACTACCTGGACATGACCGATTGTTTTTCCCTCGAGGATGAAGGCTTGCGAACTATCGCCTCCCACTGCCCCCGCCTAACACATCTGTATTTGCGCCGCTGCACCAGACTGACGGATGAAGCCTTGCGCCACCTGGCTCTCCACTGCCCATCGATACGGGAGCTTAGTCTCAGTGACTGCCGCTTGGTAGGGGATTTCGGCCTGCGCGAAGTCGCCCGCCTGGAGGGCTGCCTGCGCTACTTGAGCGTGGCCCACTGCACCCGCATAACTGACGTGGGCATGCGCTACGTGGCTCGCTACTGCCCGAGACTGCGCTACTTGAACGCGAGGGGTTGCGAGGGGCTGACGGATCACGGTCTGAGCCACTTGGCCAGGAGCTGCCCCAAACTTAAGTCTCTGGATGTGGGTAAGTGCCCGCTGGTGTCGGACAGCGGGCTGGAGCAGCTGGCTATGTACTGCCAAGGCCTGAGGCGAGTGAGTCTCAGAGCCTGCGAGAGTGTGACGGGCAGAGGGCTCAAAGCTCTGGCAGCCAACTGCTGCGAGCTGCAGCTTCTCAACGTGCAGGACTGCGAGGTGTCGCCAGAGGCTCTGCGGTTTGTCAGACGCCACTGCCGGCGCTGTGTCATCGAGCACACAAACCCCGCTTTCTACTGAGGCGAGGGAGTTCTTGGACTGGTCCTCTGACAAGTGGATGTTCTAATATTCCTGCAGTGGAGTTGGCAGAGCTCAGCGGCCGATGTGTCAGAATTGGTTGAAAACAGGTGTGCAATACTGGCCAGAATTTGTCTCTTTAAATCCGCTTGGTGGCTGTTAATGCTGTCCTTTGAAAAAAAAAAAAAAATACTTCCGTAGAATGTATTTAACATATTTATCTGTAAAAAGGCAGAGAAGTGCAGTATTTCAGTTTAGTACTTTTTCTTTTCAACATCACAATGTAACAACATGCTACAACACTGAGAACTGGGTACAGTTGTGTTACCATTTAAAAAGCATTGTTATATATTTTATTGTAAAGGTCACCACCTTAAGGCCCTGAAACATAACCATACCACCATAACCATACATTACTGCATCTATTTATAAACAGCAAGTATCTTCAGACTAAACCACTAAGAATGTAGCTATAAAGCAGCAACTAAAGCAGATCTGGTGATTTCGAATATTTCTCAGTTTCACTTTCTTTATGTTGTGTGCATATGCACTTTACGCAACTGTGCTGACAATCACTTCAACTGAGCTCAAAGTGTCATCATTATGTCAACTGATTTGCTGTAAATTAAACGTTACTATTAGCCAGAGGTTGTTTTTTTTTTAGTGCCGAATAGAAACAAACTGTTATGGGAACAGTGTTGAAAATAAACAAGAACACATTGCTGCTATAACTGTGCCAATAAATTTCTTCAAAATCCGCCTCCACAACTGCGAGTGTTTTACTCAAACCCTCATTACAGTCTTAAAAGATTTAAGCCTGCACATGTTTGTGAGTCATTATGGTAACTGAGGAATATCTAGAAATGCCATATATGGATTTGTAAAATGTTGTATTCCCCTTTAAGGACTGAAGCGTGTGGGTTCAAAGGGCGATGTGCGCATGGGTGGAACAGGTCTGCTTTCTGCTTTCGGACCATTGGCTGAATTAAATCTTGTAACTCGATGTCCACCTGTCTGTCCAGCCCAAAAGTGTCATCCACATATATATTTGTATATATATATATATATATACTTTGCACTTTGGTTATAAGATTGATGAGGTTTGGGACCGAGTTGTAAGATTGTCTGTAAGTCATATTTCCTGTTTCTGTATAAAAGAATTGCTACTGGTGAACGTGAGTTGGGTTCGTCTTTACTAGAATCAGGCTTCTATCAGCCAAACCTTCTCCTCCTGTTCTCGATTGTGGTGCTCCCGCAGCGTTCCTCGGCTCAAGCTGGCAAGTATAGTCATAATCACTACCGAGAAGAATCTCCGAACCCATCTGAACTGCTAATGATTGGATCCAGATCTTAAAATTAGTTTTGTTTGAGGCAAAAACATTCTGTGCTCCTGTGTGTTAGAGAGCTCTGGACTTGTCGTGGCCCTTAAAACCGGCGCTGTGCGAGGACATTACAGGGCAGTAAAAGGTGCCGTGCAGCAGGTGGAAGAGTATTTAGGCATCCCGTTTGCTCACCCACCTTTGGGGCCTTTGCGGTTTGCTGCCCCCCAGCCAGGTGAGCCCTGGGAAGGAGTGAGGGATGCCACCAAAATGCCTAAAATGTGAGTATACACTGGTTCCTGTAGAAGGTTGCTGTAGAGCTTTACATTTAACAATGGACTGAGCTTGTTCCAGCTCATAATGGTTTTCATGGTTACTTTCACTTACTAATGGGGGAAAATAATATCCATAAATAGCAATCACACGTGGACAACCGAGTGATTGACAAAAAGTCTGTTTAAAATGTATCTGAACTGCTCCAACCTGTAAAGGTGCAGATCTATTGGTGTATTTTTCACAATTAAATTAACAAATGATGAGTTACCTATACATATACATGGTAAAATACACAATAAAATATAGTTTGCGCAAAAAGAAATGTTAAAAGACCCATGAAGCCGTAAGATACAGCATTCAATTTGACATTAAAATGGGAATTTGTCAAGCTGTTTGTTCAATTAAAGCTGCTTTTTTTTAGTAAGATTTATTTTTCATAACATGTCCATTGGTGGAGAACTTCAACAATCATGTATCACTCGCAGTCTGATCACACTGGTAATAGCTAATGTTTAACAGTGATGAAAGTAAAATAAAGAAATAACACCTGTAACAGCACAGGAGCCCACAGAGGATGATAGACTGGGAAGCTTAGCATGCACACCTACCTCATATAACTCATATGATCAGCACTGATCAGTCAGATGAAGGATGATAATGGTTTCAACTCCCTACTCATCTTATTCAAGATAACCGCAGGATGGCTGTAGACTCTTAGTCTTGTTTAAATCACATTCTTTCTCCTCTGGGAAGGTGCCTACAGGATACAGCACCTGTGGAGGAAGTCTGGAAAACGTTCCCTGTTAAGTATCCGTCAGTGGAAATGTCTGAGGATTGTCTTTACCTTAATGTGTACAGACCCACTGGGACTGCCTCTGGAGACAAACTACCGGTTAGTAGGCTAAGCGTGCACACATGCGTAACGATTCAGCTAAAAAAAAAAAAAAAAGGTAGTAACTTCATTAACTGCAAGGAGTGAATGACTGTAACCGTATAAATGGAAAACAGGCTTTGGGAACAGAGACATGCAAGCTTAAAAAGAGCACAAGGAAAAGTGTTTCAGCTGAGCGAGTGTTTGTTTGGTGTGTTGTCCAGGTGATGGTGTGGATCCATGGGGGGGGCCTGGCTTCAGGAGGGGCCTTCCAGTACGATGGTTCACCGCTGGCAGCTTATCAGAATGTGGTTGTGGTCGTTGTTCAGTATCGTCTTAGTATTTCTAAGGTAAAAACCAGACTGAAATTCATTTGATGTTTTAGGTTTATTGTCCTGGACCTTGAGAGCTTATTTAAAAATGGAAGGATTGGAATGAATGGATGGATGGATTCACGCTTGATAGTGTCTGAATTGATCATTCAACTTAAAGATAGCTTACTACAGTTTTATAATGCATGATGCACATTTATCTTGTCTTCATACACATGTAAAAATGTTTATTTTGGTATATTTATAAAGAATATCAATTCAAATGTATTTATATATTGGCTGAATTGAATTTTACAGAGTGTTATAAAGCATTCATGAACAGTTCCCACACGTAAAGAAGATTTACAACAATTTATATATGTGTTTTAAATGCTTCATATTTATTAACACTCATCTTTATATCTGTTAACAACTTCTATCGTTTTTTATAGAGCATTATAAACCATTTATTCATTGTTTACATATGTTTACTGCTTATGAGTGGAAAATTGTGGGAATTGAGGTAAAGTGTTACCAATATGGGACGTCATAACATTATTTAGTATCTCCTATTATTATGTTTTGGATGTGTGGAAGGTTTAATTACATATTTATAATTACAATTTTCATAATTCAAGGAAATTGAAGTGTCAAGCTGCAGTGGAAATACCAGAGAATTGCGTAGCATGAAAAAAACAATTGCTGCACTTCTTTCTGTCTGCCAGTAGAGGTCCCTAGAGGTCCAAGATTTATCAGTACTGCTGTTGAGTAATTGTGTACTGGTGCAAAATTCCTACCACTGAACTAATGATTTATTTATTTTTTTAAATAAGCACTGGAGATGAACATGCACCTGGAAACTGGGGCTTCCTGGATCAAATAGCCGGCCTCCAGTGGGTTCGTGACATTATAGCAGCCTTTAATGGAGACCCAAATTCAGTCACCATCTTTGGACAATCTGCAGGTGGCATCAGTGTCTCTATGTTAGTGTGAAGGAAACAATCCAAGCAGGGTTGCTTTAGTCATTTCATTCAGAATCTGGAATACAAACGCTAACACATGTTTCTGTGCAGGTTCTGTCTCCTTTGTCTGAGGGTTTGTTCCACAAAGCTATCGCTATGAGTGGAGTGGCACCACTGGAAGCCCACTACACCGGCAACCCACTGCCTATGGCCCAGGTGCCAACATATACTGATACATTAATGATAATAATAATAAATAAATAAATCATCCGAATCAGTTTCTTTACAGCTGATGTTTAATCTCAAGCATTCTTCATTGCCAATTTGACTGACGGTGAGAGCAACAGCAATGAGAAACTTGTCCAGTGCATCATCAAAGGCAGGTCTGAGGAAGAAATACGGGCCGCTATTAAAACGGTACAGTAAGTACTGAATGTGTGTATTATGTATCTTATTACTCAGGTTTTACTGTTCATTGGTGGTTGCTTTATGGTAACTTTCTTGGTCACGTTTACCATGTTTTTTAATGTCAGTAGAGGGCCTGTTTAAAGCAGCACAAGATAAAGTTTGAATGTGGTCAAAACCAGAGAAAGAGCTGCAACACTGCAACAACTAGCTATTTCAAAAAATATATATTTAGATGTCCATTGATAACAATAGTGTTTCAGATGGTTTACATCCCATTCAGTTATACATTTAACACAATTATAGTCTCAGAAAGAAGTACATCTGACACTGGTGGTCGTTATTTTTGCAGGTATTCGGTCATGACACATATGGGGAATGTCTCATGAGAATGATTTCTGTTCCAGTTTAAGGCCTTTTTGGGTCCAGCTATTGATGGTGTGTTCCTGAAAGGCCCACCTGAGGACGTTTTAAAGAGCCAAGAATTCCAGAAAGTTCCTATGCTGATAGGAGTGACCAATCATGAGTTCGGGTGGATGATCCTGCAGGTAAACTCTCAAGACCTTTTATATACTGATATTGATTTGTTTACATGTTACTGCAGGACTCTAGCACTAACTTATGAGGACTGGCAGTGGTAGTGCTATGGACATTTACATGCATTTGAGCATGAAATATGTGGTTTTTGGTCACTGTGGTCATAGATGAAACCTTGATAATATAGTTTTTCCAGTCTTATAGTGTAGTACTTAAAGTAAAGTATTTATGTGCCTGAAAACTAATTTTTGTTTTGAGTTGAAATGTACTTGTGATTAGCTGTTAGGACCTCCTGGATGGGATCAAGGTATGAAAAGGGAAGATGTGATATCAGTGATGGACATATTCCTTCCCTCTCATGTAAATGACAGCCCCGCCATTATATCTCTATTATTCTAACTGTAAAAAGTCAACACACGTTCACATGCAATGCTTTATTTTTTATGATAAATTAACAAGAAACAGGAAGAATATATACCAAAGAATTACATCAACCATTAATAAATATGCTGTAAAAATAAATGTTCCTATATAGTTTCCCTCTCCCCCCCATAACCCTTTCAACCCCTCCTCTCTGGCAGGCCTCAGGTGCAAAGGAACTGATACTGAATGAATACCTGCAACAGAATGACTCTCCGGAGAACATACGGGATGCTTTCACTGAGATACTGGGAGACTTGGTCCTTGTTCTTCCCATACTTAAAGTGTCTGCATACCACCGAGGTCAACATGCTTTATAAGAAGTAAGAATTACAGCCCTTACATTCAGATGCAGGTGTGCCTGTGTATGTCTACGAGTTTCAGCATTCACCTCTGATGCACAAAGGAACGAGACCCGCTTTTGTCAAAGCGGACCACTATGATGATGCTTTGTTTTTTCTTGGATCCCCCTTTTGTACCGGGCACACCGTAGTTACAGGTACATGAAAGTGGAAGATCCCTCGTTCATTTTGCACCTTTTCATAAACATTATCCACGTCAATAGTGTTTGGGCTGTGCAATAATTCATATTTCCCCGAAGAACCTGTGTCACGAGAAGAGGAGTGGCTGAGCAAGCTCGTCATGGCTTACTTAGCGAACTTTGCACACAATGGGTAGAGTATTTGATTTCACTCTTATCTGCTTCTCTCCTGTTGGGAAGTGTTTAAACCAGAGGTTCTCGTTTTTATGTCACAGGCTGTTAAAGTGTTTTGTTTTTTTGTGTGTGTTCGCTACCTCCACGTAGGTCGCCTAACAGGCACGGGCTGGTGGAATGGCCTCGTTACGACCAAAACGAAAGCTACCTGAAGCTGAACCTGCAGCAGACGGTTGTCCGAGGGCTGAAACAGAACAGGGCTCACTTCCTGGATGTGGTCCTGCCCGATAAACTAGCAAAGTCGCGCCCTGCTAATAATGAACTCTGACCGGAGACTTTTCATAAAGTGCAACGTACATTATCACACACAAATAACGAGGAGGCCGTTCGATTTTCACAATTGGTTATCAAGAGTGTAACGTCTTTGTGACTGCACGTGGTGCTGGTTAAGGGGACGGACCTCCCAGTCTGGAGATTTGGCTCGATTTGTGCAGGTGCATTCAAGTGCAGGCTTCGGTGCCTGAGTCCGATCCACCTGTGAAAAAAAGAGACACTATATTTAAGTCTTTTTGCTTTAATTCTGTATTTACCGCAGCGAACATCGCCAAATACAAGCACAAACTCCACATGCTGTGTTGTACCTGAGGTTTGAGGACACGCAGCTCACTGTAAACTTTTCTGAACTTCTTCTCTAGTTCCAGATACTTCTCCTTAAGCTTCTCCCTGTCCTTCCGCTCCTTCAAGAAGTCTTCCTTGTAGACTTCGGCCTAAAAATGGACGACAAGGAAACATGATATAAGGATTCGAATGGGAATTTTGGGCAAACACGTTAAATACATTTTTTGACAATTTGAGAAATATAGTTTTATTTGCTTTCTTGCTGAGAGTTAGATGATAAGATTAATACCAGTATCATGTCTCCATAAAAACACAATTTTTACTTCTTTACTCTTGGTTTTTTGAAGGAAGCAAGCAAACAACACACAGCTACTAGTTGTTTCCCCATTTCTAGTCCTAATGCTAAGCTAAGCCAAGCGTCTGCAGCGTTCATATTTTCCGTACAGACATGAGAGTGGTATTGATCTTCTCATCTCACTCCCTGCAAGAAATAAACCAAACATTTATGATGGTGAACAAAGCCTCACCTGATGTTTCCAGAGATCCTGTAGTGTTTCCTTGCTCACTTCCAGAGGTTGCAGTGCCTCCTCTAGAGTCTGCACAAACACATGGAAGTATATGAAACCATGATACCACTGATGCTGGGGGATCAAACACTCGAAAACACCTCGATGTGGAACAGTTTTTGCTCCCTCGATCTAAAACAAGAGCACATATCAGGACTCACCTTGTTCAGTCGTCTGATCTCCTCGTGTTGATGCTGCCCTTTTCGGACCAGAGTGCTGTTCTGCGCTCGCAGCTCTTTTGCCTCCTTCTGAGCTTTTAGTAACTCAGAGCTGACATCGCGGTCTCCAGTCTGTGTGAATTTCCCCACAAGGGTCCCATTATTATACACATTTTATAGATTGAAGCCATTAAAATGCCTTAGTTTGTATATGGATTTAAAATAGGGCTGCATTTACTTACCCATGTTCTCTCTTTATCTTTCTTATATAATGTGATGTTCTTTTCTCCTTCCTCGCACGTCTCCTCTTCAAAGTGACTGTAATCGTGTTGCAGTAGTGCTTTTAAATCTTCGACCTGAGGAAAACAGGAAAAGAACATGTGACACAAGGCGGAAAGCAGCGAAATGACGTATAAGTAAAGTAATCAAACAACGAGTTGGATGAATTTGTTCCTTTCGTACCTTCTCTCTGTAGTACTGTTTCATGGTTCGGTACTCTTTAGACCATTTCTCATTAATAGAAAGAAGCTGAGTAAAAGAGAAAGAACATTTAAATACTGAAAGGTACATGTGTTGTGGGATGAACATCAATCTCGGTTCTGAAATGTACTCACCTCTTGCCTCTGCTCCTCCAAGATAAGTATCTGTGCTTTCATTCTGACATCAGAGCAGGCAGCCAACGCTTCTGGCTGAAGCAAACAAAAAAGAGGAACTATTCAAATGTGGCACATGGGCATTTATGCAATATGACTCTATCCACTAACTTCCTTTTACACATTTTTGGAATTTTTGTTCGGGAGTGTTTCCAGTAACACAAAGAACACGGTCATTTTATTTGCGGTCTGGTAATCAGACGGTGACAGCATGGCAATGACTGTAGTTCTGTCAGACGTATCTTCCCATGTTGCATCTGTTAAAATTACCTGAGTGTCTCCCAGCAGGCTGTGGGGATGATGACCTGCACCCGTGTGAAGCTTCTCTCCAACCGAGTGGATCTCGTACCTGAAAACATTTGATCACGTGACAAAAGAAAAAACTGAATGAATGGTCTTTTTATTAATAGCACGGGCTCATAGGGCGTGGCGGTCATATGCATGCATGCTGTTATGTATCTGATGAAGATGATGTGATGTGCCTCACCTGTCCATGTTCGGCAGTGATGGATAGAGCCTGTGGGTCTTCTTTATGTCTGTGGTGGCAGTTTCACCGGCCTGTGATCTCTCCACGGGCGGCCTGTCCAGTGTGTTTTTATGTAGGGACTGTCAAAACACAGAGGAGGACACACATTAGGCATTTCAAAATCACATTCATATGGTATGAGTCTATAAGAAAAATTTGTCATTTTGTTGTATAACTTTGACTTTCTTTAATTAATTAATTTTTTGTTAAAGGTAAACTGGCCTTTTAGCCGCCATTAATGATACAACAAATCCATAAATATTCATATAAATGTATAAATAACGGTGTAATATATACAAAAAAGCCCAACTACCAAAACTAGCAACAAAACCAACCTCAAGAATGCCTCATAAAATAAAATAAAATCCATAAAATAAAAAAAACAACATAAATAAACCATAAATAAAAATGTAATGTATAAAATATAAAATAAATGAATGTAGGGACGGTCAAAACATGCATTATACATTAGACTATGGATACAGTAAGTAATATAGGGGTCTCCTGGTGGTCTATAGGGGTTGAGGTGCCGATGATGAGCCACAAAGTCCTCAGTTCTGGACCTTTCCTACCTCTCTTCCCCCTCCTGTCATTACAGTCCCTCCTGTATACAGCCACTATCTGACAAAGTCACAAAATGCCCCAAAAATAAAAACAAATAATCAGTTAATTATTATTTATTAATATTAGCAATAGACAAACCCACTGCTCCAGTCTCATGTGGATTTTGATGCTTCTATTTTATACCACCATAAATAAAATGCACTGTTTATAGATCAAAACAAGCAATAACAGATAGAGTCACTAAAAAATAAAAATAAAAATACTCATTTGCTGTCTGATTTTGAACAAGTTGCAGGCTGTATGGAGGTGCTGAAAACGGCACAACGTGACAGGTGACACAAACCCACGGAGCATGCGAATTATGTCCACACTGTCACGAGATGAGCCAAAGCTCGCAGGCTGCACATGGAGCACGCACCTTCACAATAAAGTGACATGGAAAGGAGGAGCGCAGCCCTGAACCCGGGCATCAGATCAGTGTGTGGGATCCCTCTGAACACCATCCACAGCTTTAAAGTCACTGAACACACACAGAAAACTGCAAAGAGTTTCAAAAAGCAAACTCACCATAGTACTCTGCTCTGGGAGTCCTCGGCAGATTTCCTCCACAGATTTGAAGCGGTGACTCGCTCGCGTGTTGTGTTATAGTTATAGTTATAAGGATCCCATGTGACGTGGCAAAACCGCTATTATCCAATCAGCTGCCGGGATTCCCTCCAGGGGCCCGTGCGGTCGCAGGGGCCGAGCCCATCTCGAAGGAAAGGAAAGTACAAGTAGTTGATCAGCAGCACGAGCGGTAATTAACCGTGTGTTTATGGTACGGATCGATGACTAAGAGAAAAATCTGACTCCGCACTGCAAGAAGTGACACACGGCGAAAGATCTGACGTTTCACTGACGTTTCTTTTAAATCCAGAATAATTTCCTTCAGTGAATTAATGCTGATTCACATTTGTATTAGTTTCCTTTTGATACGTTGCTTCTCTGTACTGGATTGTGTTGTTTTAAAGGGAAACTCGCCTTTTAATGTAATTACAGTATATATTCCAATAATATTAATACAATAGAGACATATAGATACATACCTAATATAGACATAAATAATTAATACATGTGGTTTGAATCAATGAAAAATCAATAATTTACAAATTGGAAAATATTTTAAAAATGAATTAAAATTACTTACTAACTATTAACTCCTTCATTAATGTGGGCAATATTTTAAAATATTATTTTAATGACAGGAAATACAAATTATTAAGCATAATCTTTATTATCCTGCAGTATGTTCTTATTATAAATATATATTTTTTTGATTGGAGATTTTTTCAAAATGACAAAAATCTTTTCAAAATGTCGTTTTTAATCCATTAAAAGTGAAATACAGTAAGATTTCACGTAAGAAAATGCCAGTTAGGTGAGATGGTATGGTAGCCTGGGCGGAGTTTTAACAGCCCGTCACTTTTTGCAGCGGACGGCCGTCAGTGTGAGCGAACCTGCGGAAATAAACACACCCAGAAGCCGGAAAACCTTTTTAATATCAAGCTGAAACTGTCCAAACAAGAAAAGAAGAAAAAAAAAAATCTTAAACTGCGGGAAAATCACACATCTCGCAGGCTTATCATGTTACTCAATCTTCTGACAGGCTGTTCTCAGGGGTGTTGACTCAGAGCGGACTTGTTTCAGGGAAGGAGGAGAGGGGAAAACACGCCGCCGCTCCTCCTCCTCCAGTAACCGGCACTGAGTGCGGAGGGCTCGACCCCACTGCTGCTCTTAGCCAGTTCTTTCTCACAGAAACCTGGCTGATAGCTCACACACCAAGACCACCCTTTTTTTTTTTTTTTGGTTTAAAAAAAAAAGTACCAACCAATGTCAGAATAAATTAAAAAAAAATCCTGAATGTGATTTTCCGTTTGACATTTCACACCAGAAGAATTACATTACAATTGCATTTTTAAAGTTGAGAGGATGGATTTATTTTTTTGTTGTTGTTGTTGTTGGTGTTGTTGAAGTGGGAGCTTCCACTTACATTCATTTTAGCTGATGTCAGGGAGGTTTTTGGGCTGTGTATTCTGGGATATCCAGCAACTGTTATCTTCTTTTCTAGTCAAAAATAAAAGACACAATCCTCCCCAATAAGGATCTATAGTTATATTTCTGTATTCAATGCAAACCACTGCATCCACGTAAATGGGAAAATAGGCTATTTGTTTAAGTTAAATAGCCTACATGGTCTGTCTGAGTCGCTAATTTCACTCTGGATCTTGGAGGTGATTTCAATGGTTTCATGTACTTTTGTGTAGCTATATTTAGTCTGTGGCAGTTTTTTGTGGCCTGTATAGTAAAATATTCAAGAATAAAGTTCCACAATTTGGGAAATAGCCTATGCTTAGTTGCTTTCTTTCCGAGAATATAAGAGAGGAGGTGATAAATATCAGATATTATGTGTTTAATGCACTGAGGTGCTAGTAGGCAGATCTTTTCAACCCTTTGAGCCCTCAGAGCCGGGGTAGCTTTTCCCCCTGTTGCTGTTATTATGCTAAGTTAAGCTGTTGGCTAGAGATTTATATTTAGCACACAGACATCTAACGCATGGCAATAAAGTGCAAAGTGTATCTCCCAAAATGTGTAACTGCTATTTTCAGAGGGGCTCGGAGTCCACATACGGTAGCCTACTCAAGTGTCGGCATACTTTTGTTTTAAGAGCTGAATACCTAAAACTATGTATGTTTGGAACCGGTTTGCTTAATTGAACAGGTTGCCAGCCCCATCCAGGCTTAGAAAAATGTGCCTTTAGTACCTGAACAATGCTCTTAAAAAAACACGGATATCGTATTACACACATTATTTTCACAGCCCTATATCCAATATGGTACCTAACATTTATCAGTGTGCTAAAAAGCTCCCATGGCCAAGCAGACAGACAAAAACAATGTCAATTATTTCAGCTTTTTATATTATTCTTGACACATCAAATTCCCTTCAATTCAAAGTCCATGATGCATGTAAATGTGAAAAACACTGCAACCACATTAACACACTGCCATAAAGAGTATTATTAGTACAATGGCAGCGGCAGTGACTAAAACTGTGACAGTGTTTACTGACATTACTGTATTTGTCACAGTACCCCATGTAGTGGTTTTACAGAGGGGGGCCTTCTTCATGTAACACCTGTAAAGAGAGAACCCCTGACATCGCTTCCCAGCACCGACACATTTACGGTACGTGTGACACAGCAGCAAGTCACTCGAAAGGAAAAAGGAGGTTATTACTGCGCTCGGCAGGCCTCCTTCTTCCTGCCACAACAATCTCGCTCTAAGACTCAGACACACACACACTCTCTGAAGTTCCTGTATCTATGCACACACCCTCGGTTCACACAGATGATAGATAAGACATTTTGCGGCCTACACCTACAAATATAAAAAACCATAAGCAGGTGTGAATTTTTATGAGCACTTTCTATTCTTCTCAGTGGTTAAAGGGATTTTGCATTTGCATACACCTTAGTCTAACCTTAGGCAGCAGGTTCCAGTTTCAGCAAAAACGAAAGCAAAAAATGTGTTTGGCGTTGAAAAAAAATGGAGATATGAAAATCAACCAAGCACATTTTGTTAAAATGGTCACATAGTAAATGTTTCGGTGTGGTTTAACACACGGCCACGAAACTCATTTCAGTAAACTTCATCGACAGTAATGCTAAGAACTCTGGGATTTATTCTTTTTGCTGACCAAAACTGTTACCTCAACATTTTTGTTTACATTTCATTGACAACATATTACACAGGCACAAAAGGAAAACAAAAGGATGTTTTATTTGTTTATTGGTGTCATATGGCATTTGACATTCCACAGCCCATGTTTGTATTTGAGGAGCACTCCTCAATCTACCAGAGAGATCATCGTTGACTTCAGGAAGCTCAGCACAGACCCATCAACGGCGAGTGTGTGGAGAGGGTCCACACCTTCAGGTTTCTCGGCGTCCTCATCTCCGCC